CTTCTTCATAGCTCAACTTCTGTCACGGGATGATTTTTGACACCCCTTATGTTGAACGCAATATTGATCACGATTGCTTCAAGCTCGCCAGAGGAAAACCGCCACCACGGTCTTGGTGCCTTCAATCGTATGAGTCACCGACATGTATATGAATGCAATATGAATGATGAAAGTGTTTGATAAATCAACAAGTAAATATGAAATACTTGATGATTTATCCCAAATACATGCACAGCAGCTTTCTCATAAAAAATTCAATGTACTCAAAAAACAATATGTTGAAAGCTGTAACTTTGAGAAGAAAGAGCCTGCCTGTTATTCAAGGCATGTTTTTCTCTACAAAGAGAGAAACCCAACAAACCATTAATTCTTTTCAACTATAACTCTACAAAACTGAACCAATGTAATCTCTTAGTAAGGACGTCAAACCAAGACCACATAGACTTCAAAGAAGGACCACATATGTTATTCAATTATGACTATTCGTTTTGATTCAATATGGATTCCTTGCCTTTTATTCAAGACATGTTTTTCTCTACAAAAAGAGAAACCCAACAAACCATTAATTCTTTTCAACTATAACTCTACAAAACTGAACCAATGTAATCTCTTAGTAAGGTCGTCAAAGTAGGACCACATATGTTATTCAATTATGGCTATTAGTTTTGATTCAACATGGATTTCTAGTAAAGAGGCCAACCAACTAATCTTTAATAGAAAAACAATATCAAATGAATTAGACCAATCAAGTAGGAGATGATTTCAACGTGCAAGTTATAATAGGAAAAGATAATATTTTAACTTAAGTCAAAATAGAGTCCAACTAGGAATCCTATAATGAATGCATGATTATGTCATGATTTACCTGAAATTAAGTTTCTCATATCGGCCAAGTCATTCCTCAGATGTATGGGATTGGATGAGTTGTGCCAGAACGTACAGTAATAATTCTTTACACACTAATTTTCCACCTATGCTAGAGTCTAGGGAATGACAATACAATTTTCATACTGAACACTATAAAACACGAGCACTCAAAAGCACAAATCAAATTCAAATGAAAGCCATGCATCTCAATTTATATCCTTATTTTCCTCACCAATGTCGACAACAATGTCAGCGCCATAATCAAGTACCTCCTTAAAGCATTTCCACAGATGGCCTTACTTAGAAACCAGCCCATCCAGTAGGTTGAGAAGCTGGCATGCTCTCCATAACCTTTGCCTCGCGAAAGCGCTGAGAATTATTTCCTTCACCCATAGGTCATGAAATCTGTGTGCTTCCAGTGGGCACAGCAGTAAAACTCTCTGCTCCAAAACCCCATGAGTCATATGAATATATTGTTAAGTGGCTTATCTGTGTGCTCACAACTCCCACCAGAATATATATTCCACATACTATAAATGAAATAATACATAAAATGTGTAAGTCTATAACAAAAAATTTCTATTGTTTTTTTTTACCCTAGTATAATAGTTTGTTTCTTATTTTTTTTCCCATTCAAAATTATTATTTTTATTGGTGTTTTTGTAAAGAGATGGATGGAGGAAGAAAAAGATAGGGAGAGCGCATCAACCAAGGGAGCCAGGGTTGGGGTGGGCGGTGGTTCTTCTGTCTTTTGAATGTTCTTATTTTCTAAATTTTATTTTAAAGATAAAAAGAAATTTAAAGTCCAGCTGTAAAAAAAGATGTAATTATTTTTTTAAAATGATATGTGTTATATTTTCAATGAAAGTATCACCATTTGATGTGATACATTACCATTGTATAATTTCTTGTTTTTGTAATAGGGAAACTTGTTCCCCAACGAAAGTGGAGATGGGGAATCCCCAATTTAAATATTACATATCAATATGGGGATTGGGGAAAAAAAACAAAACAAAACAAAACTTAATGGGGATGGTGATTGGAATGTCACACATACCTATCTCCGATTCACGGCATTGCCATCCCCAGTCGACAGTGCTCAGTTGGTTGATGACCATTAAAATAACTATAAGAAAAGCTACATTTTAACTGAAAGTTGGAATTGCAACTTCATGACTATGAAAGTAACATAGCTTGAAGGGCATCTTCCCTGTCCATAAACCCAGATAATCCTTAGTTAGGAGTATGAAGTCTGAGTATGTAACTACCCATTGCTTTGGCTAGGAATCATTACAGTGGCCACATCATTTCTCATAAGTGACACAGCATTAGCATGAATTATAAAGACCTATACTTTCTTTAGTGAAAATAAAACAGCTATGGCATTTCAAAGATCTATACCATGGGTAGGCTTCAGCATATTGAACTAAAAGGAGAAGGACATGGAGGCACAGATACATCAACCACTCCTTCAAGCATCTGTGTAACCTTCTTCATGGTGGGTCTCAAAGATGGATCCTCTTGTATGCACCAAATTGACACCTTTACTAGCCTCTCCAGCCTTTTCATGTCATTTCTTGCCTCCTCATCATCCTCTACCAGCTTGTTTAATGTTTTTTCCTTATAGCAGTCATAAACCCAATCAGTTAGTATCACTTCATTTTCCCTATCCATTTCAAGGCTCCTCCGGCAACAGATAATCTCCAATAACATCACCCCATAACTATAAACATCAACCTTTGCATTAATTGGAACATTCCTGAACCATTCTGGTGCAACGTATCCTCGAGTCCCTCTAATGACGGTATGCGTCAGAGATTGATCACTTAGCAGAAGCTTTGCCAATCCGAAGTCCGAAATCCTTGCTGTGAATGAATCATCTAGAAGTATGTTGTGGGGCTTGATATCACAGTGGATGATCTGTGTGCTACACTCCTCATGCAGGTACATGATCCCTCTTGCAATACCGAATGCAATTTGGATTCGTTTGTTCCAGTCAGGCCTTGAAATCCCAAAGAGAAAGCTAGCCAGTGTTCCATTGCTCATAAACTCATAGACCAAAAGTTTGTTTGCCCCTTCATCACAGAACCCTAGCAATCTGACCAAGTTCTTGTGATGGGTCCTGGCTATTGCACTCACCTCTGCTTTAAACTCTTTCTCGCCTTCTTGTGCCACCTTGTCCAACTTCTTGATTGCGACATAGTTTGTTGAACTGAGGGATGATATGATTCCTTTATACACAGTGCCAAAAGCACCTCTTCCAAGTTCTTCCCTAAACCCATCTGTGGCTTCTTCGAGGTCCTTATACCTAAAAGAAAGTAGATTTGCTTCCATAATACTTGATGTGCTAGTAGTAACATTATGCCTTTTCTGGTAAGTGTATAAGAAAACCAAAGAAATTGTTGCAACAAAAAAGAAGTTAAGAAACACCGAGCTACCTAGAAGAAGTGCTCCTACTAAGATGAGAGTTTTCCGATCTTTTCTTCCTGTGTTTGATTGTGAAGAAAGTGGACCATCTAAAGAAGCATCAGATTTTGGTAATTTGATCAGAGCCATCCCTAACAAATTCCAGTCCTGCACTCCATGTGAGAGTGGCAGTTTCTTCTTCCAGCAGCTCCCCTCTCTGACAACAGCCACCATACAATAACAATCATTGAGGCAAGATCTGCTGCAGTCATCTTTATTCATTGGCTGCAATTGCTCAAAGTTTGCAGAAGTTTTCCAATAAGTATTAGATAGCTCATGCATAACATACAAATCCTCTGGCTTTGATTTTCCTTGCTCGTCACAACTTTGTATTCTGTTTTGTTTACATCCACTCAACTTGTTATTTGGATCTAAAGAAGAAAAGCCAGGAAGGCATTCACAAATTGGCCTTCTGTTTGCGTCGAGTCTGCAGTAGCTATTGTAGCCACATGGTGCACTGCCCAAATCACCCTTTGCTTCAAAGCAAATGTTTTCTGGGATAGACCAGATAGGCAACCAGGATGTCCAGCTCCCATTTTTGGGGGATTTTGGGTGAGCATATTGGGTGAAAAGACCATCCGAATCGAGTGTTGCTCTGTAATAGTAATCTCTTATTGGTAATAGTGTTTTGTTTATGAGCTTGTCTATATCTCCATTCCTCCTGACAACATTGAGGTAACCTGACTCATTAAAGCTTAGCTGATAACCAGAATTCATTTCATCAACAGCATCAGAAGTATTGCTTTGGTAGTAGGGCTGGTAGGCAACCTCTGTAGGCAAGCCGATAGGATATAGCACAAGCCTTCCATCTGATTTAAGTTGGAGTTGAAAGCTCCCCTGTGAGAAGTTGTTTGCTGTTTGTCTAGAATTCAGCTTTTCGCCAATTTCCAGCACTTGGGTTGGCAAAACGGTGTCTTTGAGTTCTTTGAAGCTCTGCCATAAGTAGTCACCATTGTTGTTTGCAAGCACAAAGTTACCGGTGTCGAGCATGGCAGCATAGGCAACCCTTCCACTAAGAACAGATTGAGGCTTCCATATTTCTTGGCTTCGATAGCCAGTGAGTGTGAGTTGGCCATCAGCAGTAAGCTCAAGTTTGGATCCTTTTGGTGCTGGATTGTCTCCATTTGCATACCAAACTATAGTTTTATCTGGTATTTTATCATACCATATGGCAAGCAAGAAGAGATCTTGGTCAGCAATGCGGCGAAATCCGAAGGCAAATGTCCCAGAAGGCGATTGCCATGCAAATGAGCCCTGGGATGCAGTAAGAGACGACCCCAAGCTAATATTTGCAGTTTGAGCTGCTACAGAAAGTGGTTCAACTACAAGGAAAAGGCCAAGCAAGTGAAGAAGAAGAGATAAGGCCATTGACAAACAATTTGATGAGCAATGAAAGTTTAAGGAACCAAAGGGCAGACTATATAGCAACTTCAACAAAGAAAATTCTTGGCCAAACAGAACAGTTACCAACTAATTTATGCCACGAAAAACGTGTGTCAGAATTTTCTTTGGATGAGTGGTAATTGGAAAGGGGAAGCTATGGTCCTGTTTGGAATTGCTTATTTTTGTCAAAAATCTACTTCACCTTAAAGGTAAGCAGTTTAAGTTATTTGGTAAAAGTAAAATATCCGGATTATTTTAAAATAGTGACTTTTTGACGGCAACTTTTAAAAGCATATCCTGGGTTGCTTTTCAAAATTGTTTAAAAAAAAAATTAGCAAAAATAAGTTTTTAATGAATTTTTTAATTCCCAAAATACTATCATTAATTTTAAAAATGACATCACCTCCACCTCCACATCCAACGCCACCACCTCCTCCTTGACCTCCACCACCACCACCACTGCCGCCACCACCTCCACCACCTCTACCATAACCACCATCACCACCCCTCCACCTCCACCTCCACAACCGCCATCCCCACTACCACAACCGCCACCTCCACCTTTATCACCACCACCACCACTTTCACCTCCACCTGTTTCACCACAACCTCCACCATCACCGCCAATACCACCACATAATTAACATATAACACTTTCAACATCATGTCTATTTTAGTCATTATTCACAGTTACAATAGTTTTATATTAAAATTACCAAATGATTTTGACACTGCTTTTTGTACTAACAACATTTTAAAAATATTGTTTACCAAATATGGAGTTACTCTACTTTACAGCTAATTATTTTCAAAGCATAATAGAAGCAATTTTTTTATATTTAAAATAACAACAATCCCAAACTAGCTATAAATAGCTACATATTGAATTTGTGCAGGTTTGATAAGAATAGATTTGATTTCGTTTTTGTGTGTTGTTTGTCTCCAAGTGTCGATCTATGATGCGTGGATTGCTAGACTTTTTAACATTTGACTATGAATAATCACAATATTTGTTACTTGCAAATTGCAATGGAGCTTGACCGTGACCTTCGCCGGGCTCCGGTGGTACGCACTTTTATGACGACACGCGTAAAGGGGCTAGCTAATTGATTGCTAGTCAACATCTTCACTTTGAATTTGAATCACATTAATAATTAGGGTAAATTATTCAAATGGTCATTAATTTTATATCTAATTTACATTTTGGTCACTCAACTAAATTATTCGTTCAAATGGTACATCAACTCTATATTATTCGCTCCAATGGTCTTATCATCTAATTTTCTGTTAGATTTAACCTAATTTTAGGGTAAATAATGACCAATATGCCCTAATATTTGACGGAAATATTGACAGAATGTAACGGTAGGACCAATGGAGCGAATAATATAGAGTTGATGGACCATTTGAACTAATAATTTAATTGATGGACCAAAATGTAAATCAAGTATAAGTTTGAGGACCATTTGAGTAATTTACCCTTAATAATTATGTAGAAAGCCAAGATTGAAAGGGACAATGACTGGACTTGTTTTCTTTGCAAAGAGCCAAAACATTAGACATCTGCTTTACGAAAATCAAGTTCTACGCCAACTTTCCATGAAGTATTCCCCTAATCAGCAGGTGCATTGGTTGCGTCAAAACAGGGCACCTTCTATAGTGCACCAGGTGCCCCCCATGGACTATTTGTCCTTTATAATTTTTTTAGATTTAAAAAAAAATTAGTTACCGGTTATACAAGTTGTCAAGTTTCCACTTTGTGTTAATATTTAATGGAAATGCAATTGCGTAAGGGTCATGCAATTATGTCCTTCCTGTTTGGCAATTGACATATGATTTGACATGTTATTTTTCAATTGAGTTTATTCTTTTTGACTCACAATGACATGCTTATGAATTGTGCAATGATATTTGTTTACTTTTATAAATGTAAAATTACTGTTTTAGATTCTTTTTTTATGAGAACTGTTTGACTTTTTTTTTCTTCTGATTTCGATATGTCACCTCATTGTAGCTTTACTCAAGTTCATTATGAGTTGTTGGTTTTATTTATATGAATTATGATGGCTAGTTGTGGTTAATTCCTCTGTATTTTATGCCTAGTTTTTATAAATCAATTGAGGTTGATATAGTTTTAATTTTTTGTTTCTTTTGTTTTATAGAATTGGTGAATGCGCATCAATATTTATTTGAGAGTTTAAAAGTCTTTATCCATAAAAAAATTTCACCTCAAGTTTTGTCTATGTAATTGTTTGAAATCAATTTCTAAAATAAGAACTATATTACTTGTTGAACTCTATGTTACATGGTTGTACTTTTGTAGACATCCACAAGTATTATAAATTTATATTCTTTTCCTGACATAGCCATGGATTTTATAGTACATTGTTAGGATTAAAAGTCAAGAAAAACAATTATAGAAGTAGAAAGTTTACAAGTTTTCTCTTAGATTACAAGATTTCCAGTTGTGTTTACAAGGATAATGACATAATTTTACTCCTCAAAGTCCATTCTTACCTTGGTACTATGTGTCATTTTCTTTGTAAATTAGGGTATTAAAGTGTTATGGATTAGGGTGGACCATAATGTTGTTACAATTATTTCAATTATTTCACAACAGTTGTAGATTTTTTCATGATTCATGAGTTAGGGGTTGCTTTATATAACTTGTAACCAAAATCAATAAAAATTGGGTAACTTTATATAAATCCAATTAGCCAAACTGAAATTGGTTTTTTTTACTTGTAACCAAAAACAATTTTTGAACATCTAAACTATTCTTTTTGATTTGTTATTTCTTAATAAATTATTATAAGGAACCAAAATATGACTACATAGATAACTCGTTTACGTGTTTAATATCAATCAATGATAAGATGTTCAACTTTTAAGACATAATATCAATAAATATACTCTTATATTATAATAAATATTATATGACCATACTCTGAAGCCACACTATAATTACTTCTCAAGACATATTGTTATTATATATATATATATATATATATTCGTGCTTATTCTAAAAATAACTTTAAACAAATGTCTTATAACAAAAGATAACTCATAGCATCTTCCAACAAAAATTTCCCATATGATCCTTCTCAGTTTTTTGATTCACATCTTCCTAATATAAAGATAGTATTTACATATATTATGTACAATTTCAACTAAAATACTAAATTTTTTATATATGTATTGTAACATAATAAAATACTAAATAGGGTAATGAAGGAAAAGAAAGTTACCAATCCTCTAGCTTCCCATGTAAATCCCCATTTTATAAGGACATAGATTAACATTACAAGGAATTAGTAAGTATGGACTCAAGGATATAAAATAGGGTCCTTATTATAGTAAACATGATGGTTTACAAGACTAAGGACCGGAATTACAATAGTTTGGATATGAGAGTACCATAACATTGTAAGAGGATCCCAAAACTTATAAGTTACAAGATTTGGGTGTAACAATATACAAGTTTTTGAACCAGGATTACAACATTAGGGTTCACATAATCTATAATGTTGTAAATCCTCATTTACAAGGATATAGATTCACATTACAAGGAATTTGAAACTCCGGACCATGAGGATGTAAATTGGGTCCTTATTATAACAAAATGAGGGTTTACAAGATTATCCGGACCAATCATACAATTAGTGTCCAATTAATTGAATGCATTAAGAACGATAACAAGCACTCAACATTTATAGATAAATAAAATTAACAATATCAAAGAATTTGAGTATTCATTGCTAGGCTACATCGTAACCCTAGTAAAAGAAATTAGTTCATGAAGGACTTATTGAGAATCATGATGGTTGATGAAGACATGGAATGCACCAAATTCTCTAAGTAAAACACCAAGGCTGAGTTGGAAAACGGTTGGACTGTCAGGACGTCGCAATCCTCTGCTACTGAACCACAAATAGTAGGTGAAGGTATGTATGAGAAATTGGAAACATTACAGAAAAAGTGCATTGATCAAAATAAATTAATTGTTTCTTTGACCTCTGACAACCAAGCCCTTTAAATTGAGCTTAAAAGTTTAAAGGAGAGGATTATTGCTTTAACAATTGGTGCATAAAAGGCTGAAAAAATGATTAGCATGGGTCGAATAGATGGAGACAAACGTGGCCTAGGTTTTGATTCAATCAACAAGTCTCCCGCTATATCCGTCACAAAGTTTGTCAAACCATCACTTCCTACTAGTGCTCCAACTTCTCAAACAACTTGGAGATTCATACCCACGTGTCACTATTGTGGAGCTGTTGGGCACATCCGACCAAAATGCAAACTGCTCCAACATATTTCAGTAAGTAAAAAATTCACCAAGGAGGGATATGTAAGAAATCAACACAGGATTGCATTTCTTGTAAAAGAGAAAACAGGTTGTCAAAACTCTCTCATTCCTTATCTTTACGAAGTTCAAATCTAGTATGCAGAAAGGAAAATCAAAATTTCTTGCTGGCACTTTCAATTGATGCATATCAAACTAATGCTCCTGAAATCTTAGATGTGAAATGTTTTGTTGCTCTTGGGGCCAGTTTGGCATTGTTGTGCTGTGAAAATAATCACTATCAGATTTGCTATAAGATAAATCAGCTGTGAAAGAAAGCAGTTTGGTGTGCTTGGTAAATTTTTGTGTGAAAGTGCTGTGAGCTTTGTATAATGACTAAAAAAGATACAAAGTTGAAAGTATTTTTGGTATTGAAGTTTTTGGTGATATTATACCAAGCTCACTTTTATTTTTCCCAAAACATTCTCACTTTCAATTATACAAATCTTTTATTAAATATTTTTGTTGAGAGATACAATAACATTAAAAAATAAAAATAAAAAGTAAAACAGAACCTCTCTACACCCCTCTCCCTCCCAGCCTCACCCCGACCCACCTTGATCTTAAGAATCAACACCCTGAAAAGCTCCCACACAGTCTACAATGTCAAAGCCAAGATCCAATACAAGGAGAGTATTCTGCCAGACCAGCAAAGGTTGATCTTTGCTCACCATAAGCTCCAGGATGGCTGCACCCTAGCCGACTACAACATCCAAAAATAATCCACTCTCTATCTAGTGCTTTGACTTCATGGAAGATAGAGAAAGTTATGCCTCTCTTTGGCTAATTGAAGCTTAGGGACGAAAAACGCTCTATTGCTCTATCAAATTATTCAAGGATTTCAATTTGTTGTGTGCAATAATGCTTTGCCAATGAAAATGGGAGGAGTTGGAATGGGTTGCTTTATCAAAAATTTTATTGGAGGATTTAAGGAAGTTAAGAAAGTAAGGTTTGAAAGGTTTTCGTTTTTGAAATGTTGTGAGATAGTCTCTATGGGAAGAAGATGAGGAATAGTTGGAACATGTTGGTTTGGAAGAAGATGAGGGTAGATCATGTAAATTATGAAAGTTAACAAGGATATTATAGGCACTTCATTAGAATTCATTAAACACCACTGGTTCCATGTTTTGCTTTCTGCGAAAGCTGAAATATAATCAGCCCTTGAGCTGCTTTCCAAAATCACGGTCATCGACAGCTATTTTCTCCCAAAAGTGATTACCTCGTCTTTTACCAAATGGGGTAAACTTCAAAAACTTTATTAGAAATTACTTTTTAGCCCAAATAATCAATGCCAAACAAGCATTAACTGTTCTTTCTGACTCTAAATCAAAATCTTGGTATTTTGACAGTGGGTGTTCAAGAAACATGATTGATGACAAATCATGTTTTTCAGAAATCTCTACATAATGTGTGAGTGGAATGGTCACTTTTGGAGAAGGAAGAAAATCCAAGATTTTTGGCAAAGGAAAAATTATGGCAACTAGTACACCTAGCTTGGACAATGTCTTACTGGTTGAAAAATCTTCAAGCAAATCTCACCAGTGTAAGTAAACTTTGTGATGAAATAGGTGAGGTAAGTTTTACTAAAACCCAATGCATTGTCAATAATAAAGACGGATCAAATGTGATTATTGGAAAAAGATCACCTGACAATTGCTATTGTTTTTTCACTAATGAAGTTTCTTAAGTTTGTTTTAGGACAAGTGAAGACCATCTTGATTTATGGCATCGACGTTTGGGACACATGAACTATCGAAACTTAATTAAATTGTCCAAACATGAATCTGTAATAGGATTGCCCAATCTTTCAGGTAAACATGAGGGTGTTTGTGAAGGATGCCAACTGAGGAAGCAAACCAAAAACCCTCACAGAGCTACAAACTAGATCTCTACTTCTAAAACTTTTGAACTAATGCACATGGATTTAGTTGGTCGAATTCAGGTTGCTAGCTTAGGGGGAAAGAAATATATTCTTGTCTTAGTGGATGATTTCTCACGTTTTACTTAGGTCATTTTTTTGCACGATAAGACAGAAGCCTTTAATTCGTTTTATGTCTTATACAAGCTAATCATAAATGAAAAACATGAAACTAATTCTTGCATCACAAGAATTAGGATAGATCACGGAACTGAATTTGAAAATCAAGCATTCTCTGATTTTTGTTTTGAAAAAGGAATAAAACATGATTTTTCTGCTCCAATCACTCCTCAACAAAATGGGGTAGCTGAAAGGAAAAATAGAATCCTTCTTGACATGGCTCGAGTCTTGTTGAAGAGTGCCAAATTGGCAGATCATTTTTGGGCTGAAGCCATTAGTACTCCATGCTATACATTTAACTGTGTGTTTTTCAGGCCACATACCAAGAGCACTCCCTATGGAATTTGGAAAGGGAAGAAACCAAATGTCAAGAACTTAAGGACTTTTGGTAGTAAATGTTATATCTACAAAGACAGGGAGTATCTTGGAAAATTTGATTCAAGAAGTGATGTTGAAATATTTCTTGTTCATTCTATGAATAGTCGAGCATGTAGGGTGTTTAATACGCGTACTAAAACAATAATGGAATCAGCTAATGTGATTGTAAATGACTTCTCTGTATTGCAGGTTGGAATAAGTCATGAAGATACAAATCTGGAAACTCACGAACTTGCTGATGTTACTAATATTGATTTAGAGGATTGTAATCAACCTTTCAATCCTGTGATACGCAGACCTGGTGCTAAATAAGTTTAGAAAGATCACTCACCTTATGACATTATTGGGAATGTTGACGACAAATTGAGAACTCAACAACAAGTCTGTGGTGAGGTAACCAATTTATGTTATGTATCCTTAGTCGAACCTAAAAGTGTGATAGATGCTCTTGCAGATAATGACTGGATATTGGCTATGCAAGAGGAGTTAAATCAATTCAAAAGAAATGATGTGTGGTATCTTGTTCCACGTCCCAAAGACTCAAATGTAATTGGTACCAAATGGATCTTTCAAAACAAGACAGATGAGAAAGGACAAATTATGCGCAACAAAGCTAGACTTGTTGCCCAATGTTATACTCAAATTGAAGGTTTGGATTTTGATGAGACTTTTGCTCCGGTCGCGCGTTTAGAATCTGTTTGGTTGTTGTTATCCATTGCATGACATCTTCACATCAAATGGTTGTCAAGAGTGCGTTCCTAAATGGTGTTTATAGGAGAAAGTACATGTGGAACAACCTGCAGGATTTCAAGATCATATCTATCCCAATCATGTATATCTTTTGAAAAAGGCTCTTTATGGCCTCAAACAAGCCCCAAGAGTATGGTATGATCTGACTGTCCACTCATCTTCTTCAAAAAGGGTACACTTGTGGTAGCATTGATAAAACCCTCTTCGTCAAAAGAACCAAACGGGATTTAATGGTCGCACAAGTATATGTGGACGACATTGTTTTTGGATCTACTTCTAACACTTTTGTCAAAAAATTCCATGAGGTAATGCAAACCGAATTTGAGATGAGTATGTTTGGTGAACTAAATTTTTCCTTAATTTGCAGGTCGAACAATTCAATGGAGGAATGTTCATCTCTCAAACAAAGTATGCCAAAAACCTTGTGTCTAAATTTGGTCTGGAATCTGCCAAACCCATTCGAAATCTTATGAGCACAAGCACCAAGATTTCCAAAGATTCATATGGCAAAAGTGTAGACCAAAAATTTATATAGAAGCATGATTGGCAGTTTGTTAAATTTGACTGCTAGAAGGCTAGACATCACTTTCAGTGTTTCCAATCTGATCCCAGAGAATCACATCTACTTGCCGTGAACAGAATTCTTCGCTATGCAAGTGGTAATACAAACTTTGGTGTATACTACTCCTTTGACTCAAATGTTGAACTTGCAGGTTATTCCGATGCGGATTGGGCGGGAAACATTGATGATAGGAAAAGCACAATTGTAGGATGCTTTTACATAGGCTACAACCTTGTCTCCTGGTTTAGCAAGAAGCAAAATTGCGTCTCTCTTTCCACTGCTGAAGCCAAATACATAATTGTTGGAAGCTATTGCACACAGTTGTTATGGATGAAACAAATGCTCAATGACTATGGCATTCGGTAAGGTAAAATGTTACCGTTTTGTGATAACATGAGTGCAATTAATATCTCTAAAAATCCAGTTCAACACTCTCGCACAAAACACATTGATATTCATCACCATTTTATTCGTGAATTAGTTGAAGATAATGTGCTTTCACTTGAATTTATTGTTGGGTTCATTTTTACACATGATTTATCATGTTATTCACCCAATATTTTGAGTTAGTTCTTGACATTTTATAGCTTTTTACTTCATTTTGGTGTTTTCATAGGTTTTACCTTGGTTAGAATGAAAATGAGCTCAAAGTGCATTATTGGTTATAAATTCTGTTTTTGTTCATTTTCGTAGGTCAACTTCTTGGCCTTGTATCAGAATGCTCCGGTACTCGGATGAGGTGAAGATCTTCATGAAACTTGTTCCAATGGATGTTGACTACAACATATCCGAATTTGAGCTCCATTGGATAAGTTTAGCCTATCCAACTGATCCAACAATTGATTCTAGCTCTGGAAATCTGTATTGGGCCAGTTTTACCTTCACTTGGTGTTTCCTTATTTCTACTTGTTACCATGCCATTTGGTAACAATAAATTACCTTATTGAACTGGAATTTTCTGATTCAATTGGAATATATTGAAAAACGAAATTTCATCATGAGGAGGAGACAATAAGACAAGGAGACAAGGACTTTAGCAACTTTAGCAAAAGTTGGAAAGGAGGAGAGAGAAGGATGGGCAAAGGGGAATGAATGTGCATCAGCCATTCTTGAATCATAATTCCAATTTTGCAGAGATTTTGGAGAGCTAGAGGAGGAAGACAAGGGTAACCAAGCAAGAAGTGAAGAAGATTTCCATCATTGAAGACCTTGAGCTTCCACCACTTTCACAAAATCTATAAACTCTTTCTAGTTTTGTTTTGAATTTGTGTTTGAAATAAGTATGAGGAACTAAACTCCATAGCTAGGGCTTAGATTGAAGACCAAAACATGAATACTCTATTGTTTTGATGCTTAAGTGTTTGAATTTCTAGAATTGTTGATGAATTCCCATTCACTAAAAAAATCTATCCTTGATGTATGTTTTTTTTTATTGATCACCTTCGAAAACATGCTTCTTGATTGGGATTATGTGTTTCCTCATGTTTTCCTAAGAAACAAATGGATGAAGTAAGAATCATCCATGTGAATTGGTTTCTTGAATGCCTAATGTAAACATCATGCTAATAGGGTTCTTGTGATGTTCATATTTTCTTTGAACTTAATGGGTTTTTCTTGTAATCAATTCGAAGTACTAAGCACACCTAGATTGATTATAGGGAAGGCAAAAGTATTGTAGCACTAGCCCTGCACTATACATATATTAGAGAGAATCAATGCATCTTGAGCCACTAGTCCCGGTCTTGATTGCAAACATCTTCATCAACATATTTAGAGTTCATCACTTGAGTGTCCATGAACATGAGTATGATTTTTTAGGGTGGATTCTGAAACCCTAGTGTTTGTTACATATTATTTTTGCATTTTGATTTTTTAGGGTGGATTCCGAAACCCTAGTGCTTGTTAAAATTACAGTTAGATTACTTTCAAGCATTAGAATTAGATCACTTGAACCAAATCAAACACACCCCCCCCCCCCCCCCCCCCCAAAAAAAATGTGTTGTATGTTTGTGTTATTTGGAATGTTGTGTGTTTTCTTAATTAAATTATGTTTATTTCTGTAACTGTTTTTGAATTTTGGTCCATGATGACCTCTTTTTTTTTCTGTACTGAATCCAACCATATAAAGAAAATAAAATTTGGACAAAGGGTTGGAAAGTTATAGGCCAAAAACTGGACAAAGGTCGTAACGTGTTTTTTTATGTTGAAACGTTGTGTGTTTTATTTACTGAATTTTGTTTATTTTAGTATTCCTTTTTGGCATTTGGTCCATGCTGAGTTCTTTGTTTTTCTGTGCTAAATCCAACCGTATAAATAATTGAAATTTGGACAAACGGTTGGAAAGTTATGGGTTAAACACTGGACAGAGATCGAAACTGAAAAACTGAGAAAACGAATCTGCCAAAAACTTGTAGTTACTATTCATTGTGTTGTGTTAAATAAGTGTTCTTTACATACTCAATTTAGAACTTGTAGTAGCTGACAATTCCTCGTGGGATCGACCCCGTACTTACAAAATCTATACCTCAATAGATTCGTACACTTGCAGGTATTTTTAATTGGTTAATTAGCACATTTATTTGTGTCAATTATAAAGTACAACATTTATCTCTACTGAAAAATAATTAGCTAATAGACAATCTTTGGGTATCTGTGCTCTAGATTGATTCAGTGTCTATTGCATGCCAAAGCCTCATCCATGTTTTATGATATTTATATTACTTTATGTTTCTATAAATCTGTCCAGCTCGTGCAAGGATTGTTAAGTCGTATCAATCCTGTAACTGTTTGAAATTATTTGATGATCTTAAATGATCTATCCATCTAGTTTTTTTTTACATTTGCACACATCACACTATTGTATGTAAGCTCTTGATCTGTTTAAACAAAAACAAAAAAAGGTGGTGACTTATCGTTGCTTAGTAACCGGGCATCTTGTCTAACCAACGTCAAGGTTCGAGTCAACAGGCCGTGGTGGTTTGCTATCCTTGCTTATCTTTGGAGCCTTCATGATTCGCATCGGTATTTCTTTAGGGTACCTTATCACCCAGTTGCTTACGGTCATCTGACTTGAGCACATTAATTGACCATCCGCTACATGGATCACGTCGAAAGCTCAATAAAGTGAGCCACCAAATAAGTAAATAAAAATAAAAATAAAAACAAAATATGATTCAATTCACAAATAAACTGATAATCATCCGTGGCGGAGCCACAGTGGGGTCATTGGGGTCGCACGACCTCTTTAAAGCCATGGAAATAGGCTTAGAGGTCCATTGGAGCTGCTAATGCGACCTCTTGGAGCTGCACACCAAGTGGTCGACGAAATGTCTTAAAGAACGATGGGTTGCATGCTGAAGAAAAAGGCTAGCGCAAGTTTTGTTTTTAAAACGACCTGGCCAAAACGACGTCGTTTTGGGCCAGGTTTGAAAAAATAAAAAAAGACCAGCACTCGTTTTGGCCAGGTTTGAAAAAAATAAAAAAAAGACTAGTGTATCCTCTCCAACCACTGCTTCTCCACAACACAACTTGACGGAATTTGTCCTTAAGCCAAAGTTCAAATGTATTTTACATATTCTTGGCCACACAGAAGACTTTGCTCCTAAGCATGTGAGACACTATAATTAAAGTTAAAGCAAAATGGCAAATTGCTATCTATTGGCCTCTGGACCATCACAAAACATTCTTGCCCCCAGTAATAACAAAGTTTATATTTTTAATATCCATTTGAAACTGCAACTTCTGCCACTCTTGCACCTCAGCATGTGCATGCCATTCTAATTTTTTTTAAAAAAATTAAAACTTAGGCAGCAATTTAATTAAGGAATTTAGGGTAACTACATAATCTCCTCTCTCCTCCCTCCTCCCTCTTTTCCTTATTTTATAATTAATTCAGTGGAAAAGATGCCCAATTTGCGGAAAAGATATCCAACATGTTTTCGTGTTTCATGAGCATTGGAAGAGGTTTAGTGAAAATGTCTACCCACTAAAAGTCTGTACTAATAAATTCTCTTTATATGTTTCCCTTTTCTATGTGATCTCGAATAAAATGATGTCTCAAGTTTATGTGTTTAGTGCTTAAGTGAAGTATGAGATTCTTAGAGATGTTTATCGCACTAATTTCCAGTAACAATGTGAGTTTTTATTTTCATGTTTTGCATATGTAGAATATATATGTTGATTCTATCCTAAATTATTTTTTTTGGGACTTTTACACGAAGACCCCTTGTGTTTCGATTCCTGGCTCCACCACTGATCATCATATACTTACTATGCACTCAGTGGATGTGCTATCTTAGGTGGGATCAGTCTTGGGTGGACATATTCTTTGTGCTTAATTGAAAAGAGTTCACTTCACACCTTTGCTTCTTGATGGTAGACTCATTTGGTGCCTTCTATCTTTCACCATGATTGCGGTATGCTTCCTCTTTTATTTATGAGTTTTTGTGTCTCGTGTGGTGTCGTGCATTTGTCCCTACCATGCTTTGCTTCACATGCATTTAAGATAGAAATGGGTCTGCTACTTTTTTCTCTCCTCACCCACACGCTTGGCATGTTTATGAAAGGAAATTTAGCATATCTACAGCAGAGTTTTGGCATGCATCTATAGTTCGTTTTATGTGTTGATTGTTTTTTTCTTTTTTCTTTTCTTTTTTTTCCAGCTTATTGGATTTTTTTTTCCTTTTTTTTCTCCATAAAATAATAAAAAAATGTATATAAAAAAACATACGGTGCGTTTTCACGTTTGTTGTTTAAGTTGTGCAGCCTAGGGTTGTCTTCCTCCTTAGTCAGATTCAATCTCCAGCCCCCATTGCCGTCACCCAAAGGTTCTCGTCTTCCGCTACTCACCGCGTCTTCACTCCATCACGTCACGATGGTTACCACACGAAGCTGCCGACCTTCATCCTCCTCCCCTGCCCCTGACCACAGCCCATCTTGCTTGGTGCGCCGCCGATCTACTATTGATCCTTCTTCAGTCTTCACGCCTGCTGCATCCCAATCACGGCCTTCCTTTTCACGGCTTTTGCGCTCAAACACTGCCTCTCGTGTTTCCCACCATCCTCCGATTTCTCACTTCATGTCTCCAACGTGCTCTACCAGCTATACTAATGTGGTCTATCATCGTCCCTTACTAATTGAAGAGGACTTCGATCTCTCTAGCTTCGATTCCACATTCGTCGACTTTCTCACTCGACATTGTCTCTTGCCGTTGGTTCGTAGTTTGTCGTTGCCAAACTTCCAAATTGTTCGTGAATTTTATGCTAACTTTCTCGATGTCTCCTCTTCCTCTGTTTCTCTGTCTGGAATTGTTGTGTGTGTGCGAGGGATTTCTATTTCACTCAGTTTCCACTTTATTTCGGCTGCCTCTGGTCTGGCTCCTATTCTCTTTGGCAGTTCGTGTGAGCTTGTTCCAGATTTTCTTCTCTGTCGTCAGTTGGTGAATCAACTCTATGTGTCTCCACCCGAGGTGCTTCCCTCCGAGCTCTCATCTGGTATGATGTCTCAATGGACCCGTACTCTATATATTTTAGTACGCAACTATTTGAATCCCACTTCCCAACATGGGAATGTGAGTTGAAAGGCTGCTCATATTCTCTTTCAGCTTGTGATTGAGCACTCTATCAGTGTTGAGTTCTACATCCGTGAAAATCTCATCAACGCTGGTGCCACAAATGCCACTGTTCCGACAGCAAGTCTTGTTCTACCTCGGATTATCACATCTTTGGTGGCTCATATTGGTGTCCCTGCACTGTCTACGGATGATATTGGCTATTCCGACACCATCAAAGTCAACAATCAAGTTCCTTTACATCGCAACGATGCTTATTGTACTGCTGGTGGTTTCTCCATTGAGCAACATGCCCTTTTGGATTCGCTCTCTGCATCCATCAAGTGACGCATGCGCTTCTTTGCCGCATTTGGGATCGTCTTGACACCTATGATGAGTTGTTGCTGACACTGGCTGGGCACATTCAGCCACCTAATCCTCCTCATCGTACTTGGGCTCGCAACCTTTAAGGTTCATATGTTCCGCTAATGGATTTGTTCATCTTTAGTAGTTATCTCTATGTTCCTTTCGATTTCCTAACCAAAATAAGGGAGAATATTTTGTGTTACATATGGGATTTAGGAGGAGTAACTTGATCGTCGAAAGAAGAAACATTATATTTATGGGGAGATAACTTTCTGTTTTGTCTATAGGATCAGAACTTATAGTAAATTGCTTAACCTCCTAACATATGAAAGATTGTTGTTTAACTGTGCCAAGTTCTGTTTTTATTGTTTCAATTTTATTATGTTTCACTGGTAGTCTGTTTGTTGATGTGCAGAAGTTACAAGAACTGGATATTTGTTTGGCAAAGTAAATTAGGATGTGTAGGTTCTTCTTGTAAACGTGTCTGCAATGTAATCTAGTGTTTTGTCTAGGAAATACCAAATGGGGAGATTGTTAGTACGAAAATTGTATTGGCATTTCCTAGACTCTAGCATAGGTCGGGAATTAGTGTGTGAAGGATTGTTTATTGGGCGTCTTGGTGCAACACATTCAATTCCATACTTTCAAGGCATGACTTGACTGATATGAGAAAGTTGATTTCAAGTAAATCATGACATAATCATGCATACACAATAGGATTCCTAATTGAAGTTACTTTCAATGCCGTCGTGATTTAAGTTAAAATATTAATGTTTCCTATAATGACGTGCACCGTGCTCATCTCCTAATTAACTTGTTTTAGGAGATAATTTTTTTCTTCATAAAAATGGCTATTTGCTGTCATCACTTAGAATCCATATTGAATTAAAACTAATATTCATAATTGAATAGTATTTTGTCTTCTGTTTTGGCGTCTTAACTAAGAGACCATACTGGATCAAGTTTGAGAGTCATAGTTGAATAGAATTAGTGGTCTCTTGGGTTTCTCTCTTTCTAGAGAAAACCTGCCTTGAATAAAACCAGTGTCTTTTCTTTTCAAATGGCAAGCTTTCAACGTATTGGTTTATGAGCTTATTGAATTTTTAAGAGAAAGTTGCTATGCATATTTTTCAGATAAGTCATCAAGTGTTCCTTGTTTGCTTGGTGATTTATAAAATCCTTTCATTATTCATATGCATGTCGGTGACTCATACAGCTGAGGGCACCAAGATTGTTGTGGCGTTTATCCTCCAGCGAGCTTGAAGCAATCGCGACCACTATTGCGTTCAACATAAGAAGTATCGAAGATAATCCCATGACAGAAGTTGAGCTACAAAGAAGTCGGTAAACTTTATCTAATTGCATCTAGGATAAGTGTGTGAGTACTTCTTGTAATCTTCATTATATAATGGATTTGTTTTGGACTAAGGAGTCCCGTGGATTTTGCCTCAGAGGTGGAGTTTTACCACGTAGAATAAATATATGTGTTCTTTTACTTTAAGCTCTGCACATTTCAAGATTGATAAGCCATATCAATCTTGCTTCAAAAGTCTATTTTTATTTATTTTTTAATAATCTCGAATTATCCTATCCAACCCCCCCCCCCCCACCCCCCCCAACATGCATTTTTAGTCATCCTACATATAATTTCACCAGGCAAATAATGGGCCCCAACAACCTGGGCAAGCCCACGAGCAAGTTCAATTCGAGCTACTGCCTGAGCAAAATGACAACAACAAAAAATTGAAAGAAAAAACCAAAAACCAAAAATTTCAAATTTTTTATTTTATTTTTATAAATACTTAGCTATATTCTTTACTTTCCATACCAAAAACTCTATACAAATTCATCTCCCCATATCTAATGTGAAATGGGTGGAAATAAAATTGCAAGGGCTGCACTATTCACATGAATAGTGACAACCCTAATCTTACTATTGTCTTGCCCTTGCTCATAGGGGTGGAAGTGCTCTAATTAGAACCCAAGACAGCAACGTACAATTCCAACCCAACTTTAGAAAATGATTAATCGCCTCAAAGATTAAAACCCAAGACTTCCCTACTCTGTGCCCGAATTTATATCTCTTTCTTCGTAGTTTAGATTAGTTTAAAATAGAATATAGCTTGTGTGAAAACAAACAACAAAAACAAAAACAAAACACTGAGCACAACTTCACAAGTCGGTCTAATACACCAGGTGATTGTTCGAAATTGAAGATGACACAGAGACTGTCTTGACGCAACCAATGCACCTGTGGCAGCTGATCAGGTGCATATTTTATGGAAAGTTGGCGTAGAACTTGATTTTCGTAAAGCGAAAGTCCAATGTTTTGACTCTTTGCAAAGAAAACAGGTCCAGTCAGTGTGCCTTTCAATCTTGGCTTTCTACACAATTATTAATGTAAGATTCAAATTCAAGGTGAAAATGTTGATTAGCAATCAATTAGCTAGGCCCTTTACGCGTGTCGTCATAAAAGTGCATACCACCGGAGCCGGGTCAAGCTCAAGCTTCATTCAGAGTCAAATGTTAAAAAGTCTTGCAATCCACGCATCACAGATCAACATTTGGAGACAAACAACACACACAAACGAAATCAAGTTCAATATGGAGCCATTTAGCTTTCCCTTTCCAATTTCCACTCATCCAAAGAAAATTCTAACACATGTTTGTAATTACATAAATTAGTTAGTAACTGTTCTGTTTGGCCAAGAATTTTCTTTGTTGAAGTTGCTATATAGGCTGCCCTCTGGTTCCTTAAAACTTCCGTGCTCATCAAATTGTTTGGCAATGGCTTTATCTCTTCTTCTTCACTTGCTTGGCTTTTTCCTTGTACTTGAACCACTTTCTGTAGCAGCTCAAACTGCAAATATTAGCTTGGGGTCGTCCCTTACTACATCCCGGAGCTCATCTGCATGGCAATCGCCTTCTGGGACATTTGCCTTCGGATTTCGCCGCATTGCTGATCAAGATCTCTTTTTGCTTGCCATATGGTATGATAAAATACCAGATAAAACTATAGTTTGGTATGCAAATGGAGACAATCCAGCCCCAAAAGGATCCAAACTTGAGCTCACCACTGATGGCCAACTCACACTCACTGGCCCTCGAAGCCAAGAAATATGGAAGCCTCTGTCTGTTCTTAGTGGAAGGGTTGCCTATGCCGCCATGCTCGACACCGGCAACTTTGTGCTTGCAAACACCAATGGTAACTACTTATGGCAGAGCTTCAAAGATCTCAAAGACACCGTTTTGCCAACCCAAGTGCTGGAAATTGGCGACAAGCTGAATTCTAGACAAACAGCAAACAGCTACTCACAGGGGAGGTTTCAACTCCAACTTAAATCAGATGGAAGGCTTGTGCTATATCGTATCGCCTTGCCTACAGAGTTTGCCTACCAGCCCTACTACCAAAGCAATACTTCTGATGTTGTTGATGAAATGAATTCTGGTTATCAGCTAAGCTTTAATGAGTTAGGTTACCTCAATGTTGTCAGGAGGAATGGACATATAGACAAGCTCATAAACAAAACACTATTACCAATAAGAGATTACTACTACAGAGCAACACTTGATTCAGATGGTCTTTTCACTCAATATGCTCACCCAAAGTCCCCCAAAAACGGGAGTTGGACATCCTGGTTGCCTGTCTGGTCTATCCCAGAAAACATTTGCTTTGAAGCAAATGGTGATTTGGGCAGTGGACCATGTGGCTACAATAGCTACTGCAGACTCGACGTGAACACAAGGCCAATTTGTGAATGCCTTCCTGGCTTTTCTTCTTTAGATCCAAATAACAAGTTGAGTGGATGTAAACAAAACAGAATACAAAGTTGTGACGATCAAGGAAATTCAAAGCCAGAGGATTTATATGTTATGCATGAGCTATCTAATACTTTTTGGCCAACTTCTTCAAACTTTGAGCAATTGCAGCCAATGAATGAAGATGACTGCAGCAGATCTTGCCTCAATGATTGTTATTGTATGGTGGCTGTTATCAAAGAGGGGAGCTGCTGGAAGAAGAAACTGCCACTCTCACATGGAAGGCAGGACTGGAATTCGTACGGGAAGGCTCTGATCAAATTACCAAAATCTGATGCTTCTTTAGATGATCCACTTTCTCCACAATCAAACACAGGAAGAAAAGATCGGAAAACTCTCATCTTAGTAGGAGCACTTCTTCTAGGTAGCTCTGTGTTTCTTAACTTCGTTTTTGTTGCAGCAATTTCTTTGGTTTTCTTATACACATACCAGAAAAGACATAATGTTACTACTAGCACATCAAGTATTATGGAAGCAAATCTACGTTCTTTTAGGTATAAAGACCTCGAAGAAGCCACAGATGAGTTTAGGGAAGAACTTGGAAGAGGTGCTTTTGGCACTGTGTATAAAGGAATCATATCATCCCTCAGTTCAACGAACTATGTCGCAATCAAGAAGTTGGACAAGGTGGCACAAGAAGGCGAGAAGGAGTTCAAAGCAGAGGTGAGTGCAATAGCCAGGACCCATCACAAGAACTTGGTCAGATTGCTAGGGTTCTGTGATGAAGGGGCAAACAAACTTTTGGTCTATGAGTTTATGAGCAATGGAACACTGGCTAGCTTTCTCTTTGGGATTTCAAGGCCCGATTGGAACAAACGAATCCAAATTGCATTCGGTATTGCAAGAGGGATCATGTACCTGCATGAGGAGTGTAGCACACAGATCATCCACTGTGATATCAAGCCCCAAAACATACTTCTAGATGATTCATTCACAGCAAGGATTTCGGACTTCGGATTGGCAAAGCTTCTGCTAAGCGATCAAACTCTGATGCATACCGTCATTAGAGGGACCAGAGGATATGTTGCACCAGAATGGTTCAGGAATGTTCCAATTACTGCAAAGGTTGATGTTTATAGTTATGGGGTGATGTTATTGGAGATTATCTGTTGCAGGAGGAGCCTTGAAATGGAAAGGGAAAATGAAGAAGAAGTGATACTAACTGATTGGGTTTATGACTGCTATAAGGAAAAAACATTAAACAAGCTGATAGAGGATGATGAGGAGGCAAGAAATGACATGAAAAGGCTGGAGAGGCTAGTCAAGGTGGCAATTTGGTGCATACAAGAGGATCCATCTTTAAGACCCACCATGAAGAAGGTTACACAGATGCTTGAAGGAGTGGTTGATGTATCTGTGCCTCCATGTCCTTCTCCTTTTGGTTCAATATGCTGAAGCCTACCCACGCTATAGATCTTTGAAATGCCACAGCTGTTTTCTTTTCACTAAAAAAAGTGTCGGTCTTTATAATTCATGCTATAATGCTGTGTCACTTATAAGGAGAGATGATGTGGACACTGTAATGATTAATAGCCAAAGCAATGGGCAGTTACATACTCAGACTTCATACTCCTAAGGATTAACTGGGTTTATGGACAAGGAAGATGCCCTGCCCTTCAAACTGTGTAGCTTTCATAGTCATGAAGTTGCAATTCCAAGTCCAGCAAAAATCCAAGTCCATTAGAATCCAAGTCCAGCAAAAATCCTAACCCGTGGGAAGAATTGGCATTCCTATTGTTAACTATTCCCTTCCCCGTTAAAGTATGAAGAAAGAGGGGAAAAAAAAAGGGAGTTTCACTAAAACACTCAAAATGGGGGCTTAAATTATAAAAAAACTCAAGCACTATTTAAACATATAAACACACCCAAAACCCATCATTACACACACTCAAAATCCATTTATAAACACACCCAAAAAGTTGACTTTGGGGTTGATTTTGGGTGTGTTTCTATGTTTAAATAGTGCTTGGGTTTTTCTATAAATACATGTTTAGGATTGGATTTATTTATAAATTTGTAAATAAATAAAAAACCATCTTTAATGGGTCCTTATTATTTATAAACCTTTGTAATTTATTTTTACGACTATTTTAACATAAAACAATTGAAATTTCGAAACATAATTTTATTTCACTAAAAATAAAAACGAGTAGAACAACCTTGGAAATTAAAATAATTAACGAAATTTTGGGCAAAAAAAGATAACAATATTAACGAAACACAAAACACCCGGTAAGTGCATAGCATTTCTTTGTTAATTTACTTGAGAAAAGAAAATTGTTGAAAAAAAAAAAAAAAAAAAAATAATTTAATAAAAACAAAAAAAAAAAAAAAAAAAAAAAAAACACAAAAAAAAAAAAAAAAAAAAAAAAAAAAAAAAAAAAAAAAAAAAAAGAAGAAGGGTAGGTAGAAAGAAAGTCGCAGCCTATTACAATACTGAGAAGACTGTGTGTGTGGGTTCTCCAGTGGAAGTGATTTCTCCTCCGACCGCCGCTAATTTCACTCGCTCCACTCTCCAAAACCTCTTCTCCACAACTTTCGTTTCGTGTAGAACACAAAAGGTACACTCTTTACGACGACGTTTTGTTGCGGTATCTTGCGGTGTCTTTCGGGGTGGTCGGAACTTGAAGAAGTCTCCAAGAGCATATTCGAATTCGGTGGCAAGTGTGTTTAGGGTAGAAAGTGTTCGGTTTTGTTGGTTTTGGTTTTGATTGAGGGTATCAACTGCCCATGGACTACGAGCCCTACGATAGCAGCGGTGAGCTTACTTTGAAAGATTTCTTCTTTTCTTCGGTGATTAGGTTTTTGAAGTGATTTCTTTGCTGAGTTTGGGTTAGGGTTATGCTTTTCTCTTATTCCGGACAAAAAATCTACGTATGCCATTCAGAACAGTAATTGGGGGTTTTGGGGTTGGTTGCACTTGCAGTGAACGAATTAGGGTTTTCCACTGTAATTATGGTGTTTAGCAATATATATTCACTTTCACTTTGACTATGCTTTGTCACAGAGCATGAGGCTTCTTTGATGAACTGGTAGCAAGTTGTTGCTTTATAGTATTTGAGTTTGGGCATTTAACTTGGGAGATTTGGTAGCAAAGATTGTATATATGGCACCTCAAATTTACTTCGTTATTTGATATTGTTTTCTTCAAGTTAGTTCTTCTTGGTTTTTGACACTTGGGTTCCTCGAGTAAGTTTTTATTTGGGATCCATGATCTTTTGAATGCTTCAGATAAGTTCATACCAAGTAGAATGCGAAAGAAAAATTTATTTTCTTATAAAGAATCGAAAATGAAAAACAAAGGAGAAGAAAAACGATTTTTATTTATTTATTATTAGAAAAAAGAGCTAGTTGTGATATAATTCTTTTATTGGGACAAGTAGTGATAGAAATTAAGAAATGTTATTTCCAAAATTTCTGAAGAAATTGAATTAATAATTGAATACAAATGATCGAACCTAGTTCTTGAGAGTTCAAATTTAAGCATGATATTTAGTTAATAAGAAAAAAAAATATATATATATCATCCTTTTAGGCATGGTTATATCTTTATATGGAAGTAATATCACCTCACGCAAATATACATGTTGTGGTTTAAACATTCACAGTGTAAGCTCTTGACTCCCTAATGAGAGCACCTGTATTATGGATTTTAGTTTTTTATTCTGTGCACCTTTGAACTTTTTTTTCAGTGTTCTTAGGCATCAGTGCATATGTTTGCTTGAAGTTCATATATGTTTAGTTTCAGTTACTAAACAAAAGCCACTTTGTTAGGACATTATTCTATGCCATACCTTAGTTACAATATCTTATGAGAAAGAAAAAAAAACTTTAGTTACAGAAAGGTTTTTGGATATATCTCAAGGACCTAATTGGTTTTGGAGTTGTTCTCTAAAGATGAGTTCTTTGAACGTGTTCTTCATTTGCAATTAAGAAACTATTAGTGAAGGTACTCATCCCTTTGAGCTTGCTGTGTAGAAGTGAATTGCTTTAGTTGCCAACTTGGTTAGTTCTTAGGTTTGCACCTCTTCCAGAAATTAAGGATTTGAGAAGTTTTATTTTCAGTTTCACTATTTCCTATACATTTGTGCCTAATGGCCTATTAAATAGGGTTGTGTCCAAAAAAAAAAGGACCTTTTAAGTAGAAACTTTTAGGACTCTGTCCATGTGTCGAATAATCCGATCTTTGTATCACTCTTGGCTTGTCATGCATAGGCGACCTGCAAGATATTATTTTTTAATTTTATTGTTTCAAATTTCTGCGAATTCTGGCTAAACTGCAGACCTCATTTCATTCTCATTATTGATTTATGTTGCATCTGTTCTGAATCAAAAATAAAATAAAATTGCAGGAACTGATGACGATCTTCCTCCATCACACTAAAATAGAATTCCCAGAGGGGGTCGTGTTGCAGGAAATGGAAGATCTGCTGTGGGTTCCGTCCCTTATCCTAGGATGTATGGTGATACTGACATGGAAGCACAAATTCACCAGCTGGAGCAAGAAGCATACAGTTCAGTTCTAAGAGCCTTTAAAGCTCAAGCTGATCTCATTACTTGGGTGGGTACTTATATAATTTTTCTTCGTGGATCTAATATCTTTAATTTGTTTGTTCAGGTTTAAATGATTGCCACATGAAATGTATTTTCTTCAGGAAAAGGAAAGTCTGATAACAGAACTTAGAAAGGAGTTGAGGCTATCGAACGAGGAGCATAGAGAACTTCTAGTTCGGGTTAATGCAGATGATGTCATACGGAGGATAAGGTCTGATAGATTTAAGAAACAAGATACAAGCTTTGTCATTTAATTGAGAGACGAGACCTATTCAGTAGATTTTGTTACTTGGCTTCTTTTTTCTTTTAATGGGTACTGTGTTGGGTGATGCCATCAGGGAGTGGAGACAGGCTGGTGGGGCTCAACTTAGCATGCTCAGTACTGTGCAAGCAGCTCATGATCCAATACCCAGTCCTACTATCTCTGCATCTCGCAAGAAACAGAAGATGACCCAGTCAGTACATTCACAGTCCTTTGTTGGACCATTGCCACCATTTCATCCACAGGCTACCGCATCCCACCAGCCATCTTCATCTACTCTTAAACGAGGGTCTGTCCCAGCCCCAACCCCAGCCCCAGGAGCCAAGGGAAAGAAACATAAACCTGTGAGTTGAGGATTATCATTATAAAGTAAAACACACAGAAAAGCTTGCAGGTTATTGATTTCTTTGTTTGCTTCCCTTTTGTCTCATACTGTTCACAGGGTCAAATTTTACCAGGTGCTTCTTTAATGAAGCAGTTCCCTTCCTCAGGTCCGACAGGAAGAGGTCAAGTTTCGAATAGAATCTCTTCTGGTGCCATTGTCAATGAACCTGCTGAAGGAACGACATATGATCCCTTGAATGGCAGGAAAGTAAGGACTAGGTGGCCCGATGACAACAACTTTTATGAAGCTGTTATAACGGACTACAATCAAGCTGAGGTATCTGTTGGTCTTATGAGTGTTACAGGAGTTCATTTTTGCAGTAAAGCTATGTTAAGTCTTGTACCTGACATTCGTTCTTTTTTCCCTTGTTTTGTTTTGTTAGGGACGACATGCCCTATTCTACGATATTAATTCTGCAAATGAAACTTGGGAGTGGGTTAATCTATCAGAGGTATGTTTGATGCGTTGTACCTGGGATTTGAAATTTTCTTGCCCACATGTCATTTTCATTACATATTTTCTACATATTACGTGTAGTAAAGCTATAAATACAGAAGCTTATTTGAGTGGTAAGATGCTCTTTTGAAAGCTGAATTGTCGTTTCTTGACCGCTTATGACTTTTACGTAAATTCAGATTCTTTTCCTGGATCATAAATTGTCTATTGGATAGTGGATGTAAAATGACTTCTCACTGAATTTATAAGGCTACCAATAGTTTACATGAAGTAATCAATTCTTTAATAAAGTTTGTTGCTTCTTGAAAAGAAAACTTGATAATTTTATATTATAGTACTGTGCTCCTTGCATGATGTTCTCTGTGTGTACACATTCCGACAAGGCTTCCTAGTAATTTTCTTTAATGAATTCTTCTTCCTTCTTGCTTTACTGCTCTCTGTTAACCAATGTTTTCTGAATTGCCCTATTTGGCCAATTGGGTTTGTCCACTGATTAATGATACATAAATTTGCGCACCATGCGCCAAGTAATATTTGCCTTTTACTCCTACTAGGTAGTTTCTGCTCTAAGATTAATGTACTGTTTTTATTATTATTTATAAATACCTAGCCATATTCTTACTTCTCATACCAAAAACTCTATACAAATTCATCTCCTCATATCTCATGTGAATAGTAATTGCTCTTGTCCTAGCCCGTATGGGTGGAAACAAAATTGCGAGGGCTGCTACTATTTATGTGAATAGTGACAGCCCTTGTCCTACCCTTGCCTTACCCTTGCCCATAGGGGTGGAAGTGCTCAAGTTTATATCCCTTTCTTTGTAATTTAGATTAGTTTAATATAGAATATTGCTTGTATAAAAAATAAAAAAAATTAAAAAAAATTATGAGCACTCTTACTTTACAAGTCGGTCTAATACACCAGGTGATTGTTCACATTGAGTACCTGTTCGGAATATGACCCAAAATAAAAAATAAAAATAAAAGAGAGTACCTGTTCGTAGTTGAAGATGGCACAGAGACTGTTTTGACGCAACCAATGCACAGATTCGTAACTGAAGATGACAGAGACTGTTTTGACGCAACCAATGCACCTGTGGCAGCTGATTAGGTGAATACTTTGGTGAATGCTAGCAATCCTCTCAAACCCTCTATTTTGGACATTCTCTATTTTTCTCATGGCGTGTTACTTTTCTTATACTTAAAACAATGTCATCAATGTATCACATAATATAATTTTTGTTTTCTAAGTTTACCCTTGTTAAATGTATTAACTTTTCTGTTTTAATTTACAACAAGCTAGTCTTTTTATAATATTTTTTACAACAACCTTGTTAAAAAATTAAATAAATAAAAAAACGTCAATTTTTTTTAAATTTTTAAAAAATGTCTTTCTCCTATTTTCTCTTTATTTCAATTGGTCATTGACAATGTCTATGTAAACATTACATGTGCAGCTTCCGCCTCAGACAAGTTTGACTGTTTTAGGGCAAAAGAATCATCCTTCAAGCATGGTTAAGTATCAATCAATAGTGGTCTAAATTCTTTTGTGTTTAAAAAACAAACATTCTCTCTTGAAAAGAAGATGTCTATTGAGTATTTGGGTTTTTTTTTATGAGATTTGGGGGTTGGGCTTGTTTTAAGAAATTAATGGCAGTTTTGTAATTTATAAGAAGTTGAAAGCCTCTTTGTTATGTTGTAAATGAGCTTTGGGTGTGTTTATAAAGTCCTTTTTTAAAAAATAAAAAAAACTGACGTTTTTTCTTATTTAATTTTTCAACAAGGTTGTAAAATAGTTATAAAAAAAAATAAAAATAAAAAAGAATAAATGAAGGAAACAAAAAAGCCAATACATTTAATAAAGGTGAATTTGAAAAGCAAAAATTAATTTGTCTGATGTATTAATGATATTGTTTTAAGTGTAATAAGAAAAAAGGACTAGAAGTTGGCGTAGAACTTGGTTTTCGTAAATAAAAAGTCCGATGTTTTGGCTCTTTGCAAAGAAAACAGGTCTAGTCAGTGTCCCTTTCAATCTTGGCTTTCTACATGATTATTATTATTATTAATGTAAGATTCAAATTCAAATTTACGCGTGTCGTCATAAAAGTGCATACCATCGGAGACGGGTCAAGGTCAAGGTCAAGCTTCATTGCAATTTGTTTTGTTTTTGGTCGAAACTTCGTTGCAATTTGTAAGTAACAAATATTGTGATAATTTTGAAAGTCAATATGCAGCCATTTAGCTTCCCCTTTCCAATTTCCACTCATCCAAAGAAAATTCTGACACTCGTTTTTCATCACATAAATTAGTTAGTAATTGTTCTGTTTGGCCAAGAATTTTCTTTGTTGAAGTTCCTTAAACTTTCTGTGCTCATCGAATTTCATGGCAATGGCTTTATCTCTTCTTCTTCATTTGCTTGGCCTTTTCCTTGTAGTTGAACCACTTTCTGTAGCACAAACTGGAAATATTAGCTTGGGGTGGTCCCTTACTGCATCCCAGGACTCATCTCCATGGCAATCGCCTTCTGGGACATTTGCCTTCGGATTTCGCCGCGTTACTGATAAAAATCTCTTCTTGCTTGCCATATGGTATGATAAAATACCAGATAAAACTATAGTTTGGTATGCAAATGGAGACAATCCAGCACCTGAAGGATCCAAACTTGAGTTCACCATTGATGGCCTAACACTCACTGGCCCTCAAAGCCAAGAAATTTGGAAGCCTCAATCTGTTCTTAGTGGAAGGGTTGCCTATGCTGCCATGCTCGACACCGGTAACTTTGTGCTTGCAAACAACAATGCTGACTACTTATGGCAGAGCTTCAAAGATCTCAAAGACACCGTTTTGCCAACCCAAGTGCTGGAAATTGGCGAAAAGCTGAATTCTAGACAAACAGCAAACAACTACTCACAGGGGAGCTTTCAACTCCAACTTAAATCAGATGGAAGGCTTGTGCTATATCCTATCGCCTTGCCTACAGCGTTTGCCTACGACCCCTACTACCAAAGCAATACTTTTGATGCTGTTGATGAAATGAATTCTGGTTATCAGCTAAGCTTTAATGAGTCAGGTTACCTCAATGTTATCAGGAGGAATAGAGATATAGACAAGCTCATAAACAAAACACTATTACCAATAAGAGATTACTACTACAAAGCAACACTCGATTCGGATGGTCTTTTCACCCAATATGCTCACCCAAAGTCCTCCAAAAACGGGAGCTGGACATCCTGGTTGCCTGTCTGGTCTATCCCAGATAACATTTGCTTTGAAGCAAATGGTGATTTGGGCAGTGGACCATGTGGCTACAATAGCTACTGCAGACTCGACGCGAACAGAAGGCCAATTTGTGAATGCCTTCCTGGTTTTTCTTCTTTAGATCCAAATAACAAGTTGAGTGGATGTAAACAAAACAGAATACAAAGTTGTGACGATCAAAGAAATTCAAAGCCAGAGGATTTATATGTTATGCATGAGCTATCTAATACTTTTTGGCCAACTTCTTCAAACTTTGAGATGCAGCCAATGAGTGAAGATGACTGCAGCAGATCTTGCCTCTATGATTGTTATTGTATGGTGGCAGTTATCAAAGATGGGAAATGCCACAAAAAGAAACTGCCACTCTCAAATGGAAGGCAGGACTGGAATCCGTACGGGAAGGCTATGATCAAATTACCAAAATCTGATGCTTCTTTAGATGATCCACTTTCTCCACAATCAAACACAGGAAGAAAAGATCGGAAAACTCTCATCTTAGTAGGAGCACTTCTTCTAGGTAGCTCTGTGTTTCTTAACTTCTTTTTTGTTGTAGCAATTTCTTTGGTTTTCTTATACACATACCAGAAAAGACATAATGTTACTACTAGCACATCAAGTATTATGGAAGCAAATCTACGTTCTTTTAGGTATAAAGACCTCGAAGAAGCCACAGATGGGTTTAGGGAAGAACTTGGAAGAGGTGCTTTTGGCACTGTGTATAAAGGAATCATATCATCCCTCAGTTCAACAAACTATGTCGCAATCAAGAAGTTGGACAGGGTGGCACAAGAAGGCGAGAAGGAGTTCAAAGCAGAGGTGAGTGCAATAGCCAGGACCCATCACAAGAACTTGGTCAGATTGCTAGGGTTCTGTGATGAAGGGGCAAACAAACTTTTGGTCTATGAGTTTATGAGCAATGGAACACTGGCTAGCTTTCTCTTTGGGATTTCAAGGCCCGACTGGAACAAACGAATCCAAATTGCATTCGGTATTGCAAGAGGGATCATGTACCTGCATGAGGAGTGTAGCACACAGATCATCCACTGTGATATCAAGCCCCAAAACATACTTCTAGATGATTCATTCACAGCAAGGATTTCGGACTTCGGATTGGCAAAGCTTCTGCTAAGCGATCAAACTCTGACGCATACCGTCATTAGAGGGACCAGAGGATATGTTGCACCAGAATGGTTCAGGAATGTTCCAATTACTGCAAAGGTTGATGTTTATAGTTATGGGGTGATGTTATTGGAGATTATCTGTTGCAGGAGGAGCCTTGAAATGGAAAGGGAAAATGAAGAAGAAGTGATACTAACTGATTGGGTTTATGACTGCTATAAGGAAAAAACATTAAACAAGCTGATAGAGGATGATGAGGAGGCAAGAAATGACATGAAAAGGCTGGAGAGGCTAGTCAAGGTGGCAATTTGGTGCATACAGGAGGATCCATCTTTAAGACCCACCATGAAGAAGGTTACACAGATGCTTGAAGGAGTGGTTGATG